TTATCATAATCCTTACCAAAAGTATTTTTGAATAGCACATTAAACCATTCAAATTTCATATCTATAATGATAGCTAATATATAATATTTAAGAGTATAATAAATTATAAGAAGTCATTAAATTGCGTTAAACTTCTATATTTGTTAACAAATATGGAAACCTTTTTACATATATTGTACGTGTTACTACTTATTGGACTAAATGATCTCATTATTGGTGAGTTCGGAACCATATAGATTCATCCCATTACCTTCAATTTATTAATTAATTTGAACTTTATATGCTTAAAGATTTTCCTTCAACTTTTTCATAATTAATATAAAAAAGGTCAAATCATAAATATAAACACTAACAAAGTAGAATGTTATGTGTTGAATGTTGCTTGAAATTTCAAGAAATCTTCTTTATATATATATATATAAGAGACAAGTTATAAGCTAACATCAACCTTAATTTGATTGGATTGTAATCAATCATAATAAAAAACATCAATCAATCCATAATATTACAAAATTAACATAAAGGCAAAAAAAAAAAGATGAATTTCAATTAGATAAAGATTGATAAAATTCCTCAAAGGCTTGAAAATTTTTCTTCACTCTTATATATTATCCAACCTCATTATTAATGCTCTCATCATTAAATGCATTTTTAAATTGATTCCAAGCCTTTAAAATTAGCCAATAATAAATATGAGAGAATCTAAGCTTGTAGCTTTCAAACTTATAATGTAACTTGAATAATATATAAACCTCTATTGATGGCTATCTATATTTTTAACTATTTATTAATTTTACTTATTGCATTATATGTAGTTTTATTTTTTGCATCATAATCTTCATTCACATGTACAATATTTATTATTGTAAACATGCAGCCAACTGTGAATTCTAAGATGGAATTAACAATGTTAACTTAAAAATTATAGTTATACCCAATTTAGTGTGTGTGTGTAACTTACTTATGTTTATAGATATATGTATCAATCTTCCACCCATTTGTAGTATTTTATGAATATGTACTCTTAATATTGAAAAAGACATTGTAGTTTCACATACTCAACACTTATATAAGAATGAATGTAAATATAGTCTGTATTTTAAATGTTAAACTTTTTAATATTGAAGTTGTCTAACTACATTTTAAAAGTTATTCTTTTAATCTAAATGTCCCATCTAATTTTTATTTAAGTTGTTTGAATCAATTTCTATAAAGTTAAATAGAAAATATTAGTTGTTTAGCTAACTCATTTTTATGGTTAAGTAAAAACAAATTTAGGTATTTATCATATGTTGCATTGTAAATAATATAGATAAGTTGTAGTACCTATATAGAAAGCTTCCATACAATCACAATAATAGTAAATGTTGCACAAATCTAAAAATAATAGTAGCAAGAAAATTCAAAATATAATGCACACAATGAAAGATAGACAATTCAGGCACATTAGGTCATAAACTAGGATAACTAGCTTGACATATTATTTGATAGCATGAATTTTAAATTAAATAAAATTTAAATTACATGCTTAACTTTAAATAAATAATCAACAATGTTAAGGTGTCTAACACTAATTTGGAACCTATGTTTTGTTAGATATCCCTTGTTGGTGTATAATATTCGCGATCTCATTTGTACTAGTAGGTACATTGTATAAAATTTAAATTCTCATCAACACGTAACTAAATTTTCATTTCACCATTATAATTAATTTTTCAATTCAAAGATGATAACTTATAAATCTCTTTATTTTTCCTAGCTGAATTTATGCATTAATAATAATATTTCATTTGAAATTTCTTAAAATTAATCACTTATTCATCCATCAATAATTAAATTAACATGTTAATAACCACATCTCATGGTAAATTAGTCAACCTAATTTAATAATTTTAATTTTTTTTTCCTTAGCGAAGATTTCTCCTTCCTTCCTTGAGCATGAGTATTCTATTTTTTTTAATTGATCCAAATCACTTTACCATATATTTTTTATTTACTTAACACAATTTTACACAATTAATCTATCAATTGCATTCAATAGTCTAAACATAATGTTTCTTCTATTTGACTGAGACCCTTATCTAAGAGGAGAAATGAATTTCTCTTCAATTTTTTCAAATTGAGTTGCTGTTAAATTATTTTTCATATAAACTATCATAAATCAATAATCAAAATATATAATCTAACACCTTAACATACAATTTTAAAATCCTTATATATTAAATTTTTTCATTTAACACTATACAAAAACTATCTCAATTAAGTGCTTTGAAGAAGTTTCTTACCCAACTCAAAGGAAAAAAAGGTTAAGAGCTTGGAAAAACACCATTATCTTGACTTTTCTTCCTCCCCTCTAAGAATTCCTTAGTCAAATATTTTCAAGGGTTTAGACATTAAATCTACCAATTTTTCTTGTTCAAATCCCTTTATAATGCATTTTGATTACTTAATCTATCTCTCTTTTGTGTTTTTATAATGAATTTTCTATATTTTCCTCATACCCTTTTTCTTTTCTTCGTTGGTTGACACTAGAGTATTGCTAAAGAATAGTATTCATGTTTATATAGCTATAAATTTTTATTATTTACTCTAATGGTACAATGTTTCTTTTATTTGCATATAGAACCCCATAATTTTCTTTTATTTTGACTAATGTTACTAGCTTTTTACATTTTCAATTTCATCCTTTAATTAAAATTTAATTCATTCACATTAAACAAGTAAATTTCTAAAAATTTCACAAATTGAGACAATCAACCAAAAGTATACATTCTTACCACAAGATTTTTTTTTAACTAAAGTTTACAAATAACCTAATTCAAAAAACACAATTATGAATAAAAGTATTTAAAAGTAATTCAAGCTGTTATAAAAAGATTAAACATTTGCGATGATAAGCAAATTATAAAATTGAATTGTTTGACTAAAAAAGATTAAACAAAACAAAAAAGATATAAAATTATAAGAATACAATGATAAGTTCTAAAAAAGTGACTTGCTAAACTCAAAACATTTCTTAAAGTAATCAAATTGCAGAGATAGTACGTAGATTATATCATTAAAAATAGTTTAAAAAATATTGTTGAACTCATGTTTCTAATTCAGTTCAGATGTTCTTCCTATATATTCAAAAAAAAAAAAACAATAGCAGTTATATTATCATATATATTTTTCAATAACAATCATGTTTAAAAATTAACTAAACATTGATGGAAAATCTCTAATGAAAAGTCAATAATGTAAGAAACCTATCTAAAAACACAAGAAAATAATGAGTAATATTGATGATTTTTGAGCTATAACATTAAACATAATGGAACATTCATGAATAGAGGAGGAAATAACGTGTACTCCTTTTATTTTAAAAAATTGGTTGTAATTTAGTCAATATCATTAGCAAAATCCCATTAAGCTATGGAGTGAGAGGTGGGCATGTAACCCTTCTTTAATTTCTAAATCCCACCACTCTTTTTATGATTTGGATTTAAGACTTGCTAATAGAAATTATAAACTTTTAGCTATTAAGATTATTGCTTTCACATAAATGTAGAGGAGAGTTAAAATGCCTTTATATTGAATTTCATCCTCTACCAATTCTCTTATAACTCAATTTAAATTTCAAATTCAAATAATTACAACTAAATGATAATATATTTCTATGAGGAGAAAGGGAGAGAGAGGATATTTGATATTAGTGTAAATGCACACAAAAAAACATATGGTATTTTTAGGTCTTATATTAATAACTCTCATATGTGTCATGTAAGATGATGATACCAAGGACAATTTGGATGTTTGTAATTGTCATTTCATATTGTTGTTACTATTATTTACAACATGGTCCACTATGTATGTATATGTTTATATACATCATGGACTACGTCATATTTATATAAAAATAAATAAATGTGATTGTGTGAATGACTCCATATTTAACCTATTATTAGGTGAAGAAATTTCTACCATATGTTATGACAACATATTAAGCAATGACAATTCAAACTTAGAAGTTTACATAAGGTGAACCTTAATGCTTGGTAAGGTCATTAATAATGGGCATGATAGAATATTTATCATGTAGAAATTAATAGGATGGAATACAGGAGGCAGAAGGTTGGAGACTAGCTAGTGAACATACTATTCCAACGACAACCATACAAATCATTACATTCATAATAACCCCCACATCAAAATTGATTCATAACAAAAAAATAACATAAAATCAAGGTCCTAAAAATTGCTAGACATGACGATAGACAATGGTTGCTTATTTAGTAACACAAGATAAATAGAGTGAAGGAGAGTAGATTAAGCCTTTTGTGCTACGAAGATTCCAATTCCCTCACCACAAAACAATAGCTTTGTTCTTGGAGAGGTATGCATATATCCCCACCAAATTATCAAGATACTGTTTATTGTCAAATCAAATTATATATATAAAAAACAATAAAGTCCTAAAACCTAAAGTAAATAATTCAAACTACCACCACAGGTTTTTTTTTGTTAAAAAGACACAATTAACTTGCGCAAAACAAATAGATCGGACAAGAAGGATGATGTTATTTTAGTATGATGAGTTTTAATGGTTCTGTCTCCCTATTTTTTATAAGCAAAGCTTTACAACCAACCCACAATAAATCCTAGTAAAAGCAACTTGAAGCTGCTTCATACTAATTAAGGTTAGTCCTCAATTATTACTGCATCCACCTTTTAAATAAAAAAAAATAAAAAAACTACCACACTTCGATACATCCTCGTAGTACGGTGACGACATGTCAATCTACTGGTCTTGTGATTATATATTTGATACAATCTAACAAAAATACCTGGATTAAAATAGAAAAAAAAGAAGAAAAAGGAAAGAAACAAAAGAAATAGCCGTCAATGGCCAAAAACGCAATATTACAAAATATAGATGCGTTTTCACAAATACTCAAAGAAACGTGAAAGGGCTCGATGCTGCGATCTGAGAGCAAACCTAAAATAAACATAAACACTAAACACTAAACACTGAACACTAACCATTGCTTTTTTCTTTTTTTTTTTCTTGTAATTTTGTAATTTTGTCGCTCCACTGCTTCCCCTCTCTCCCTCCTCTAAAACCCCAGCCAAATTCACACAGACAGAGAGTGAGAAAGAGAGAACTAGTTACCTTTTCTTTTGTTTAATTTAATCTATCGAGAAAACAAATGGCGTATGTGTACATACCGGTGCAGAACTCAGAGGAAGAAGTTAGGGTAGCTCTAGATCAGCTTCCTAGGGACGCCTCTGATATTCTTGATATCCTCAAAGCCGAGCAAGCTCCTCTCGATCTCTGGCTCATCATCGCCGTTCGTCTCTCTCTGATTTCTCCTATTCTTTTCTTTTTCGGAATCTCTCAAGTAATAATTATTGTATTTTGTGGTTAAATTGATGATTTGATGCAGAGAGAGTATTTCAAGCAAGGAAAACTCGATCAATTTCGGCAGATATTAGAAGAAGGATCCAGTCATGGTAATTCCTATTGTTATGAAATTTTATTTTTTATTTATTTTTGTTTTTCGAATAGAAAAAAGAAGAAGAACGATAGTGGAGACGAGTAACTTACTGAGATTATTTTGTGATTGATGTTGGTGTGGGTGTGCAGAAATTGATGAATATTATGCGGATGTTAGATATGAGAGGATTGCTATCCTCAATGCTTTGGGGGCTTATTATAGCTATCTTGGAAAAGTTGAGACAAAACAAAGAGAGAAGGAGGAGTATTTTATACAGGCTACCAAACATTACAATAAAGCTTCCAGGATTGACATGCACGAGCCTTCTACTTGGGTTGGCAAAGGTCAGCTTTTACTGGCTAAGGGTGAAGTAGAACAAGCATCTGCTGCGTTTAGGATCGTACTGGAAGGAGACCGTGATAACGTGTCTGCTCTTCTCGGTCAGGTGCAACTCATTGATTTTGATGCTTGTAGTGGTTCATATTCAATATTATTGATTTTCTGGCAAGCTTGTGCCTTCCCTTTTGAAAAGCAAGAATACAAAAACACACATTTTGAATAAAAATGAAATTGAATAAAGATACAAGAGTAATTTGGATATTATGCCATCTTCCAATTAAGAAAACAAGCTGAACAAATATCAAAGTAATCAAGCTTAATTTTGAAACTGTGACACAAATTTGCATAGCAGTTTCGCATAAGAGGCTCTATGTTGCATCTTGCATGTTGAATTACTTCTGAACATGGATGGTGGGAGCACTGGTGGTAGATAGCAATTATGGGAATAAATTGAGAATGAGACCAAACCCTTCAAATTTTCCTAGTGAGTGACTGTCATGGGAGACTGAGATGGAGCTTACCTTCATGTGGTAGGGTACAAATGTTGCTGTATCTCTATATAACTTTCCCTGTACTTTTGCAGGCGTGTGTTGAGTACAGTCGTGGACATTATGGTGAATCGTTGACCTTGTTTAAGGTTTGTTACTTTATCTTAACTATGTTCCCTTATAAAGCACTACTACTCTTACATTTTGTTTCTTGTTTTTATTTAAGTTACGAGCTTCTAAGAGTCATGACAAATCCTCCATCTAACATTGATTTCTTTAATCAAGGTTAACATTTTATTTTTGGTTTTTGTTCAGCGGGCCTTGCAAGTTTATCCTGATTGTCCTGGAGCTGTAAGACTTGGCATAGGACACTGCCATTATAAGCTGGGCCATGTGGGAAAAGCTTGCCTGGCTTTTCAGAGGGTTTTGCAGGCAAGTGATATGAGTATTTGTACATGTATTGGATTTATACAGCTCATGCTGCAAGTTCTGTGCTGATTCTTTATCTATATTTTGTGATCTTCCATGTACAGTTGGATCCAGAAAATGTTGAGGCTCTTGTTTCACTAGCAATTTTGGATTTGCAAACAAATGAAGGTGGGCTGGTAATTTTTTCTTCTATCCATTTGTCCAGATGAATTTCTCATTTTGAGCAGTCTTACTCTGTTGCTTTATTCTGTCTGCACAGCTGCTGCAATAAGGAAAGGGATGGAAAAAATGCAGAGAGCTTTTGAGATATACCCCTATTGTGCAATGGCACTGAATTATCTAGCAAATCACTTTTTCTTCACTGGTCAACATTTTTTAGTTGAGCAACTGACTGAAACTGCACTTGCTGTCACAAATCATGGACCAACAAAGTCACATTCTTATTACAATTTAGCTCGCTCTTACCATAGCAAGGTTTGATTTGCCATCTTTATTCATACAATTGCAGTAAATGTCATATGTTCTTCCTGTGATTGAAATTTGTTAAAAGTGGAGGAATTTGTTTCCTATTGAGAGATTTGTCTTGCTGTTTGTGTGTGTTTGCAAGGCCATACATGAGTGAATTTGATTTTACTTCCACAAACTGTATGCAAATGGGGTCTCAAAATAAAGCATGGTGTTTAAAATGACTTTTCATTGGCCCACTTACCTATTGACTCACCTTCACTATCCTTTTCTTGTTGCCTTGAAATGCCTTCCACATGCCACTCTATCCTTCCAGCGTTGGCTGTCTTGTTATTTGAACCTGTTCTCATAGCCCAAATATGAGATAGCCCTTACTGTTGGCCAGTTTTTCAACAAGAATATTCTTAATGTCCTCAAACAAAAGGCTGTATACAGTGATACCTAGCATAAGCATTAATCTGGTTTGCGTATTTGAGAAACAAGTTTTGAACTTCACCTTTTTTGCACCTTCTTAATGCTCTGTACATGATGCTATGAGAAGCAGCTGTTTTGGCTTTAATATATTCCCGTATTCATTGTTTTTCTTTCTCTCAGGATTTTATTTATAACAAGTTTTATCTGCCATGCTTAGTCTGTCAATTTTGTTTGGCCCTTTCAACTAAGCAGCGGTGCCATTTCTCTGTAGGGTGATTATGAAACAGCTTCAAGATACTACTGGGCATCAGTCAAGGAAATCAATAAGCCCAGTGAATTTGTGTTTCCATATTATGGTTGGTAAACAACAGCCCTTGCCCTTCTTTTGGTTATAGTTATAATAATTTTTTTCTGCTCAATATAAACACTGTATCAGATGTTGTGCAATAGATCCATTATTGCAGTATTTTGAATCTTTGATGCATAATGCTTGCCAGTGCTATTTGTCTCTTAATTCAACACTTCTCTGCATAACATGTTGTTTCTAACAGGTTTGGGGCAGGTACAATTGAAACTGGGAGAGATTAAAAATGCATTGTCAAATTTTGAAAAAGTTTTGGAGGTCTACCCTGATAACTGTGAGACATTAAAGGTGAGTGGGCTAGTGGCTTTTTTTTGTAATTCACTTTCTTTTCTCCAATTTTTTCAGGGACTTTATGCTTCTAATTATTGTTTTAGCTTAATCCTGCCTTTTCAACTTTATAGGTTCTTTCAGTTTTATGGGAACTTCATGCTGTCAGTTATATTTTGATCGGGTTTTTGTTTTTCCTCTAGGTTCTTGGGCACATATATGTTCAGCTTGGGCAAACTGAAAAGGCTCAGGAATTTTTGAGAAAGGCTGCGAAAATTGATCCTCGTGATGCCCAGGTAACCGATTCTATTGCTTGTTCTTTCAGAGGGTTGTAAGTTGTAACTTTGAGGTTATATGATTTTTGGATTGACAGGTATTCTTTACTAGGGCATTGAAAAGTTGATATATATTCCGGAGAAGGACTGACCTGTATGGTGCACAAATCATGGGAAATGATATCCAGTATAATCTTTGATCATGTTTTTACATTGAGATGGTTTTTGGAAGAGTAGGACTCTAGGAGAGCTGATTTTTGGGATGCCATTTGTTGATGGTTCTGCATCAAGAAAGTTTTTATGCTTCTATCAATGAGTTTATTGCCTTTCTTATCATGACTACAACTATGATAAAGCACTTTACCATGTTAAATCTTTAGAAGATCCTGGACCTCAATGTCCTGTGTATGAAATGCTGGAATCACAGGGCCTTTAGCCACTATATCTCTTTATAAATATTGTCAATATTCAATCACTGAACTTTTCAAATGCTCAAATTACAAGATCCTTTAAGTTGCTAGAACTAATTAGGCATCATGCAATGAGTTACATTCTATTCTCACATCGACAACTTGAAAAAAAATCTCAATCATTATGCAGGCGTTTCTTGATCTGGGAGAATTGTTAATTTCAACTGACACTGGAGCTGCTCTTGATGCCTTCAAAACTGTAAGGGCTGTCTATTTGTTATTTCTTTTTATTGTGAATTTATCTGTTTTTGTTAAACAAAGCTCCATTTTTGCACATGGATTTGTTCTAGGATAACTCAGGTATAAAATATTGTTACAGGCACGCAGTCTTCTGAAAAAGGGAGGTGAAGAAGTGCCAATAGAAGTTCTTAACAATATTGCAGTCATTCATTTTGAAAGAGAAGAACTTGAGGTTTATAGATTTCTCTTTTAATTTCATCAAAGCTAGTACAATTTTATTATATAATTTTTTTTTTCTTATTTAAATTTACATCTTCAGTTCACTCTGATTTTGAACCTTTTCTTCTGCTTCTAGTTTCTTGCTATTAAAATCTTGATTGGAAATCTCAAAAATAGTGTGATGTCTTGATACAGCTTGCTTTGCAAAATTTCAAAGAGGCTCTAGGTGATGGCATATGGCTCACTTTTCTTGAAGGCAAAGCAAATACATATGAAGTTGATGCAACTTCATCTCTTCTTCAATACAAGGACATGCAGATATTTCGTCGACTGGAGGAGGAAGGTCATTCTGTGGAACTGTCTTGGAATAAAGTCACAACATTATTTAACTTGGCCAGATTACTTGAGCAGTTGCATAACACAGAAACTGCAAGCACATTATACCGCCTCATCTTGTATAAGGTATTTGTTTGTGTGTGTGCATTTGCGAGTAGGCATATTCTCTTATGTATTCTGTCTTATTGATTAATACCACCATCAATTGAAATAAGGAAATTTTTTTGGATGAGTTAAGAGTTGAGAACACCTTACTGTCAAGAAAGAAATCAGTGAGCTGTTGCTTTGACTTTGAACTTCAGAAAATGATCAGCGTAGGAAAGTTCAGAAATAACAGCTGGTTGTTTTGTGTAATAGTTGAACTCAATTTTCCTCTAGTTGATGCTGTATTAGATAATGCTAATTAGTGATAAAAAACACACATATCTTGGTTTTAACTGGTGATTCTAACTTACATTTACACCTCTTTTGCTGCAGTTCAAGCTTTCAAATTTTAAGATTTGATATCAATAGTTCTGTATTTAGTCACATGTGATGTTTCAGATTTGTCTTAACTTTTTTATCTCGTTGTACAGTATCCAGACTATGTGGATGCTTATCTGAGGCTTGCTGCCATTGCCAAAGCTCGAAACAATCTTCCATTAAGCATCGAACTGGTTATTATCATCACTATAAATTTACATAGATGTATGTAATTTTGTAAATGCTTTTGTGATGAACATAAACCTTTTCTTTTAAAGGTAAATGAGGCCCTGACTGTGAATGACAAGTGTCCAAATGCATTATCAATGCTTGGTGACCTGGAGCTTAAAAATGATGACTGGGTAAAGGCTAAAGAAACATTCCGTGCTGCTAGTGAGGCAACTGACGGGAAGGATTCTTATGCCACTCTTTCTTTGGTGTGCATCTTGTTTATTGAGCATGCTGCTTTAAATTCTCTTTAGATATTCTGTATTCTCCCCACACTCACCTTTTTAGTGACTACGTTGTGGCCATGCTTTCATAGATGTTTCTTCATTATTTCTAAAACATTACGTGCATCTCACATACTTATTTGGCATTGTTAGGGGAACTGGAACTACTTCGCTGCAATACGTAATGAGAAAAGAAATCCCAAGTTGGAAGCTACCCATTTGGAAAAAGCCAAGGAACTGTACACCAGAGTATGGATGCCTTACTCTTCCAAACTTCCCTTCTCTATATGGGATTTTCTCCACCCTTAAACATCATATTTTTAGTGAACCTTATAGTCATTTATTTTATCCAATCTCATGGTCTATATAGAGCAACTTTCAAACGGAGTGTACTTTATGTATTTTTTGTCCAAGGTGATGTCTAAATAATGTAGAAATCTTATTCTAGCAACCATCTTGCATAAAGTAGAATGCTATATGATTGAATGAGTAGAAAAGAAAAACATTGATAAGAATGAAAGCTATATGCAAGAAGGCTGATTTTAAACTTTGATCTTCTATCTGAACAGCTTATAATTTTCATAGGCTTCGTGCATATTGCTTCAATTTGGTGTTAATTGACAACCTCTCATCTCATTTAACACTCCACTTAGAATGTGACGATAAATCTTAATGGCCCTGGAAATAAAAAAGCTTGTTCTGTGACTAGATGAAAATAGTTCATCATCATTGGCTTATCCTCACAGGGCCCTCAATATGGATTTAGCTACAACAATTTCAGTTTTCCTGAGTTCAGGACCTTATTATGAGGCTATTCCTTTCATTTATGTGGGCTCTTTAGGTTGTAGCCTTCAGCCTGTTTCTTTTATACTATGTATTTCTTGTCAATACAATAATGTTCTCATAATAATCTTTGATGTTTTTAGGTTCTGGTTCAGCATACAGCTAATCTTTATGCTGCCAATGGTGCTGGAGTAGTCTTGGCAGAAAAAGGACACTTTGATGTATCAAAAGATCTTTTTACACAGGTAAGAAGAATAGTTATTCATTTTTTGCGTACAAACTTGTCCTGTCTCTTTTCCTTTAAGTGAATTCTTTGTTTGTTTTGTGATGATATAGGTCCAAGAAGCTGCAAGTGGAAGCATTTTTGTCCAGATGCCTGATGTCTGGATAAATTTGGCACATGTATATTTTGCTCAAGGAAATTTTGCATTAGCTGTGAAGATGGTGAGTTCATCTCATTTTATTCATATTTATGCCTGCTCATGCATGTCTGCAGTGTTATTATAAATATTCTTTTGAAGTTCCCTTGCATAACATCTTTGCTGATGACACTCTGTTTGTTGCAGTACCAGAATTGTTTGCAGAAATTCTTTTATAATACAGATTCTCAGATTCTTCTTTATTTGGCGCGCACTCATTATGAAGCTGAACAGTGGCAGGACTGCAAGAGAACTTTATTGAGAGCCATCCATTTGACACCTTCTAATTACACACTGAGGTTTGATGCAGGTGTTGCAATGCAAAAATTCTCAGCATCTACACTACAAAAGACAAAGAGGACAGTAGATGAGGTTATTTTTTTCCTTTTTTTTTTCCTTGGTGTGATGGAACATAATCAGCCATTGGGTAAAAGCCCTCAGACCATGTTTTTAAACTCTTCAGATCACAAAGATGAAATCTGGTGTGACTCCAAATCAGGCTGGCAACCAGATTTTCATATGTTTTGTTGGCCTCCATCACAAAGCTATCTAGTTACCATAATTTGGTTTTATAATAACAGGTGCGTTCAACTGTTGATGAGCTGGAAAATGCTGTCCGTTTATTTAGTCAGTTATCTGCTGCTTCCAACCTGTACTTTAATGGGTTTGATGAGAAGAAAATCAACACCCATGTAGAGTATTGCAAACATTTACTAGAGGCTGCTATAGTTCATCGTGAAGCAGCTGAGCGTGAGGAACAGCAAAATCGACAGAGACTAGATCTTGCTCGTCAGATGGCATTGGCGGAGGAAGCCCGCCGTAAGGCTGAAGAACAAAGGAAATTTCAGGTCTACTGTTGTGCTTTTGCTTCTTATACACCTATAACTTTTGAATGAAGGTAAAACCTAATAATATCATTATTACAGTTAGAGAGGAGAAAACAGGAGGATGAATTAAAACGGGTGCGGCAACAGGAAGAGCATTTTGAGCGTGTGAAGGTAAAAAAAATTGTTCCAGGTGTTCTAGTTTTATAGTAAGCAAACCATAGAAAATCAAATATTTCCTCAAGAATGCTGGTTTTCTGACTGCATAATGTTGGCACTTGCAGGAGCAATGGAAGAGCAGCACATCTTCTTCTAAGCGGAGGGACAGGGCAGATATTGATGATGGTGAGGGTGGGCATGGTGAGAAAAGGAGGAGAAAGGGTGGAAAGAGGAGAAAGAAGGAGAAGAGCTCAAGGTCACGCTATGAGATGGAAGAAGCTGACATGATGGATGATCATGATGAACCGGAAGATGATGATGCCAACGTGAATTTTAGGGAGCCTGGATATCAAATGAATGATCAGGATGACAATGTAGAAGAGAATGCGCAAGATGTTCTTGCCGCAGCTGGGCTGGAAGACTCTGATGCAGATGATGATGCAGTAAGAACTTGTTTGTTTTTGTTTTCGACTTGCAACTCTAATAAAGTAATGTTTTTTCATGTTGAAACTTAGCTACATTAATTGCTATCTTAAACCTGCTGCTGGAAGCACCCAGTGATTGTGGAATTATTCAAACTTGTGTTGTAATTAAGTGGTTGCTCAAGTTTGTAAATTCTTTATAGATGCCTGATAGGTTACTAAATGTTATGAAAGGTTTGTTAGCTTGTTGGTGCTAAGGTTTGTTCATATTATTGATGTGCTACTTTGTCTATGAAATCAACGAATTAGAACCAGTGAATCATCATTTAGCATCATTAAGAGGCTGCTTGGTAATTGTTAATTAAACTTTGTTTTATTCTAGCTATTTAATCGGTTTGTTTTTTAGCAGCAGTTCATTAAAATATGAAAATTTCCCTTATGTATTTTTCTGTGTTGCTCCTTTGTGAAGGCTGCACCTTCATCAGCAGGCAGGAGGAAGCGGGCATGGTCAGAATCTGATGAGGATGAGATTTCAGAGAGGAAGCCACAGTCCAGCCTTTTGCGAGAGAATTCTGCTGATCTGCAGGATAGTGATGGTGAATTTAGAGACAAGAGGCAGGAGAATGCTGCTGTTGATGATGAGGATTGATATCGAGCATTTTGAACCCTCTTAAGGACAGGGGGAAACTAACATGCCAGCATAAGGTGAATGGCCTTGCACTGTGGGGAGGTACTCAAATCTCTTCTAGTGTTTTGGTCCCCTGAATTACTTCCATAGTTCAATTATGTATGGTTCACTATAGAAGTATCCTAATGAAAATGCAACTTTTGCATCCTTGTATATGCACCAGCCATGCTGAACAGTTGCATCCTTGAATTTTTTTAGAATCTTATATATTTTAGGCAGAAGCTGTACAGTTGAGAGATTCTCTGACCAATCTCTATTAAGAAATTACTGAACATCCAAGTTACCAGCTCGAACTTTTCTTTTGCGCCTTCGGGTCTGTTGCCGAGGTGGGATTGATAGGGAGGGTGGATGAGAAGGTATGAATGAGATAATTTACTTGTTTGGCATGATGGATTGAGACCCGAGGAAAGAAAGGACTCTTCCTATCCTTCCTCACTTGTAAGTTACAATCCATCCAAATCGGGTCGATTAACTTTCGTTCCTCCCTTTATTTGTTAGCCAAACAAGTGAGCAAAGAGTTGGAAGGTTAACATCCATCAATTCACTCTACCTTTATTTTTCGGTCCTTCCTAACAGCCCATTTCTGTGATTAGACCCTTTTAGTTGGAGAGATTGAAAGAAAATGCAGATTTAACTGGGTTCAGACTCGCAAGTCATAGAGTGCGGGGTTTGCTGCCCCCCACGAGTTGCCAGCGAGTGAAAGGATGGTTAGCTCTATGGATGTTAATGACATCTTGTCTGTTGAATTGATGTGCTCGACGATGGGTATCCTTCTGTAGGAAATGTAATGTCATATTGTCAGACATGGGACCTTTTCTTTTGGGATGATTACTGAGACAGTCAGTCTGATAGGAGGTGTTTGGTGAGAGGATTGGTAAAAAGTTTACTTCCATGCTGCCTGCAAGATTCAGTGGGAAAAGCCTTTTTAAAGCCTGGTCTCTATGCACTTCTCCTTTTTCAGAGGAAGGCACCAGACCCCCGCATGGACATCCATCAGAGGGTTCAGAACAGACACAGACTAGCGCTCTGTTGGCCATGACCTTCACCTGAACCCCCCAATGGCTCGCGAGTTGGCTTCTTTTTTTCCATGACTATAATCCACCTCGTCTCATCGCAGTAAAAGACCACCAACCAAAAGGAGAAAAAAAGAAGGTTCCCTTCGGTAGGTTTATGGAAGAGAGCCGTCATAAATGCATTTGCCTAACTTGGGAGTTGATTAAAGATGAAAGAGTGACAAACAAAATGCCCGACAAATCCTTACCTCCAAGAGTGAAACCATCAAGACAGGCATTTATTTAGAACAATTATCAAGTACACATACCAGCTTCATTGTTAAGATAGAATTAGGGTGTCATGTTTGTTGAGCTATAGACCATGGCACCATCAATTGGGTATATCGAGTCTTTTTTTCCCCAACGCAGGAACAATTCTGATATAATTATAGTGGTGGATTGATGACTGCATGTAGAGTACTCGTACAAATCTCAGTTAGGTGAATTGACAAGTCCCTCGTCTATTACTAGTGCAAGGTTGGGCAAGTGTCTGAAACTGAAAGGAACCATTAATGGAACCCGGAAGAAGATACCTTCATATCAATGGCTTGGCTACCATAAAGTAGAGTCCTTCAAATCTATTTGTGAAAATCCTAAAGTGAAGTAAGAAAAGAAGAGAACCCACAAGGCAAAAGACATTGGATACTCTTCATTAATAAACACACATTTAATCCAATCTCAATCACATTTTGCAGAAAAAACCAAAAAAGAGTTCAGCAATTATGAGGCCTCTTGACAGAAGGCGGTGACCCCCCCACTCCCACCAAGTACATCTTGGGCCAGAAACCCACCAGAGTAAAATCAACCATCTGCAAAACAAAATGATTTAATTTCATGGACAAGAAGTATTTGTCCCGTTCGAAAAGAAAATCCACAAAAATTAAAGGTAAATAGATATCGACACCGAAAAAAAGACGAAGAAGATTGAATTGATTACCATTATTAGTTCTTGAACTGAAGATTGGAAGAAAGTCATGAGAGGAGGGAATGGATATTGAGAGCCCGGTTGCTGAAACTGATGCACTTTTTGATGATTTGTCATCCAAATCAAGCCATGAATCTTTATCCTTTGGTGGCCCTTCATCAAAGAAACGGTGGACAGTCTTTTGGGATTTTTCCTTCTCCATTTTTATGGGCCCTAGACTGTCTAAATCACTACTTCCCAGAAGATAGTTATGTTGATACTGCTTTTGTTGTTTTGGGGTATCGTGATCACTCAGGCTTTGAAGCTGCAGGTAAGAATATTCGTTGTGTAAACTAGACAAGCTCCTTTGCTTTGAAGAGTTAGTAGTAGAAGGAGAAGAGTTCATTGTGAGTGGGGTGAGTTGCCAAGCATCATCCAAAGATGAACCGGACAAGCTTCTCATAGAACCTGAAGGTTCTAAGAAGAAAGCATGCTCATCAACCTCCTCTTTCAGCCCATAAACATTCCTGTTTCTTCTTAGTTTTCGGGGAAAAAAAAAAAAAACTAATGAGAAAGGATTTTAATAAACAAACCACAGAAAAGTAGTATAAATGTCACATTACTTGTGCAAAACAGACCTGTAATCTGTATTGGCCAGAGAAGAACCACCAGAGTCCAAAAGCAAGTGAGTAGGATTTTCATGAGGGGACAGACCAATCCCAAGGGGTCTTGAAGAAGACAAGAATTGATGATTTGGATGGGCATGATAACCTGCAGGAGCAGGATAGTGAAGGTGATTCTGGTGGTGGGTCTCAGGTGACAATAACGAAAGAGAGTGGGGGGATGTTGTTAGTAGTGAATTATTAGAGTGGTTTCTGGTGATTGATGAGACAGTTGGTGCTGTTGTTGATTGTGTTGCAACTTCCACAGGCTTTCTTGAACGGTTCTTCCCTCTATGCATATGTTTCTCACAGTACTTAGAATCTGGGTATGCTTCTTTTGAGCATCTCCATTTCTTTCCATCAGTTCTCCTGCACCTCCCCGGTTCTGGATCTATTTTCCTTCCCAAACCCATCTGAAAACAGCTCCAGGAAACTGCACCCACAAAACACACCATATATTAGCAAAAAAAAAAAACCCAGATAAAAGAAAAGAAAGACTTTACAAGAAATTTCTCTGTGTATATAAATATATAGTGGGTTCACAATGTGGAGGTTGGCGAGGAAAGAGCTTTGAAGAGAGTGAAGAGTCCAAGCAGCCACTTCTTTTGATGGTGAAAAGAAGATCGGGAGGGATGGGGATGCCTGAAACCATGTACTTGTAGATTAGGGCTTGATGCTCAAGCTCTTGCCACTGGGATGCAGTGAAGGGAAACCTGTTTCCTCCACTCATTATCATATTACCCTGGAAGAGAAAAGAAGAGGAAGGAGAAGAGACAAGACTGAAAAGAGAAGAAAGATAAGGAAAATGGAAAAGAGCTTGTTTTTAAGCTTTAACAGTGAAGTGAAAGAGCAGGGACAGTTGCAGAAAGAAAGAAGGGAAGAAGCAGGTCGTGTGTGTGTGTTGGGGAGGGTGAATGTGTGTGGTTTATTACTTGTAGTTATTATTACTAAATGGCTTGGAGAGTAGAGTAGGTATATTTATTTCAGGGACCATTAGCCTGCAGAATCTTCTGTACATGGATAAAACTAATGGTTCTCATAACAGTGCTGCCACCCCCACTCTCTCTCTCTCTCTCTCTCTGCTTGTATGATGTCTGAACCTCTCTGATGCTGCTGCAGCTAAGCTGCCTGGCAGCTCTTGTCTCTGACAAAACTACGGAAACCCATAAACTAAAGGTAGAGAGCGCTTTAAAAAGACTGTAAAAAACAATAGAGAAAAAAGCAACAAATTTTTCTTTACTATCAAGGCCAGAGAGAAGTTGGTGTCTGAAGCCAATGCCTGCACTGAGAAGGTTGTACGGTTTGAGCTTTTACTGCTACTAACTCCTTTACCTTTTCTGTACCTTTGCCTCAGACCCCAATGCCCCTTCCACTTACCATTTGACCTTTTTCGATTTGGGAAATTGAGAAAACGAGAGAGAGAGAGAGATTCAGGTTGGGGGGGGGGGGGGTCTTTTTGGGTTGGGAA